ACCTTGTGGGCATCAGGTGATTGTAGTTATAAACTTTCACAAAAGACTTGATCTTTGACCTCTTGGCGATCTTCTTCTTGCCCATGGCAGCTGTCACTTTGCGGGGATAGCGGTCAATTCCAGCCACCAAAGCATGGCTGTAGGGGCGATCTGAGGTGCCATCATCAATGTTCTTCACGATGACGGCTTTGCGTCCAGAGTAGCGTCCAGCCAGGACAAGCACCACCTTCCCAGGTTTCATGAACTTGCCCATTTCAGCAGCACCCACTCGGGCCTACAGCAAAAAGGCGCAAATGCCACTTTTAAAGCTGTTAATAGACTTTGCACCTTTTCTTTGACAAGTGTCATATTTAAATTTTTACATACATCATGGCTACAGGTAGAACTGGGGAGGGGGGAATGTAATTTTTTATGGGAATTTTGATTTGAAAAGAAACTAGTCATTTATTTATACAATAGGCTTGGCTCAAAAAGTGTTTTTCAGACCTCGGTATTCCTAATGTGGGATGTGACTTTATTTTATTTTTAGTAGCAAATTTAGATGTAGACTGACAGACATAGATGAATGTCTTAATAAATTTAAATTTGAAGATAAAAAAAAGCTGTAGGTGTGGATAGAAGAAGAAGATTTAGAATAAACAATTGACTAATGAGGGAGGCAGACAGAACTACAATACACTGTGATAAATGATAAATCAGAGGTACACATAGGGTGCTTGGGAGTGCATACCAGGGGAGCTTAATTCAACTGTGTGAGTGAATGTGTGTGTGTGGTGTGTGTGTGGTGTATGTGTGGAGGTAGGGGTGCTGCTAGAGAAGATTTACTGGGAAAAGTAGCTTTCAAATTAAGAGGTGAACTATTTATAATAGCAAAGACATGGAACCAACCCAAATGCCCATCAATGATAGACTGGTTAAAGAAATGTGGTATATATACACCACCACAACAACAAATTAAAAGCTGAAATATGTAAGCAAGATTTCAGCCAAGCCAAAGGCGGGAGAAGGGGTGGCAGGGTCAGCAGAATATACTTGACTTAAGGAACAGCAAAGGTCTTCCTTGCCCAGAGCCTGCAGAGGATGGCTTCTTAGTATCACTGAAAGCAGTTCTCTGGACCAGGAACAGAGTGGAGTGTGTATCACACTTCCCCATTGAAGTTTGATACTGGAAAGTTGTATGTGTGCATGGGGGTAGGGGGGTCAGATCATGCAGCACTTCCTAAGCAAAGGTAGAATTTGGACTTGATCTTTAGGCCAATGGAGAGCCAATAGATGATTTTTTTTCAAAATTTTTATTTTGAGATAATTTTAGACTAACGGAAACAATGCAAAAACTGTACAGAGAGGTCATAAGAGGATGTGAATTAGTGGAAGAAAAACTTTTACAGAGAGTTTTTTTTTTTTTTTTTTTGAGACGGAGTCTCGATCTGTTGCCCAGATTGGAGTGCAATGGTGTGATCTTGGCTCACTGCAGCCTCCGCTTCCCGGGTTCAAGCTATTCTCCTGCCTCAGCCTCCTGAGTAGCTGGGATTACAGGCACTTGCCATCAGGCCTTGTTATTATTATTTTTTTGTATTTTTTGTGGAGATGGGGTTTGGCCATGTTGGCCAGGCTGGTCTTGAACTCCTGACCTCAGGCGATCCTCCCACCTTGGCCTTCCAAAGTGCTTGGATTATAGGTGTGAACCACTGTGCCCGTCCACATTAATAGTCTTAAGAAAAAAAAAGATCACTTCAATTGGTGAAAAAGATTTGATAAAACTCAATATGATGAAAACTTTCAGTGAACTCAGAAGGGAACTTCCTTCACCCAATAAAGGGCATCTACAAAAAGCTGTTAATATCTCACTTAATGGTGAAAGACTGAAATGATTTTTTCCAAAGAAGTCCACTAGCACCACTTCTACTTAACATCATATTGGAAATCCTACCAACAAGGCAAGAAAAAGAAACAAAAGGCATACATATTGGAAAGAAAGAAATACAGCTGTCTTAGTCGGGCATGGTGGCTCACGCCTGTAATCCCAGCACTTTGGGCGGCTGAGGCAGGTGGATCACTTGAGGTTGGGAGTTCTAGACCAGCCTGACCAACATGGAGAAACCTCATCTCTACTAAAAATACAAAATTAGCTGGGCATGGTGGTGCATGCCTGTAATTCCAGCTACTCGGGAGGCTGAAGCAGGAGAATTGCTTGTACCTGGGAGGCGGAGGTTGCAGTAAGTCGAGATCTCGCCATTGTACTCCAGCCTGGGCAACAAGAACAAAACTCTGTCTCAAAGAAAGAACAAAAGAAAAGAAAAAAGAAATACATCTGTCTCTATTTGCACACAACATGAGAAAGTGCACAGAGGTGGCAGGTGGGGAGGCCGGTACCTGTCTTTGCCGTCTCACAGGCTTTGTTGTTGGAGAAAACCAGCCCTGCCCAGTGGATGCTTTGGCTGTTCAGGGGCCTTATACATCTTGCAAGGGTGTAAGGAAGCAAAAGATGAACATGGTTTGGACGGATCGACTGACCAATTCCTAGAGCCTCTGATGTATACTGAATATGCTGGAAGGGGCTAATAGACTTCTGGAAGGTAGTCATTTTGCCCACATCAGCTGAGCAGCTCGTGGTGGGTGTGCTGCTCATGCAGACAGTGCACGCGCTCGGCTTATCTCCAGACCCCATTTGGTGTCCAGCAAGTGGCTGGAGCTGGCAACAATTACACACTGGTGGCATCAGGAGAGCCGCGTCCTGTAGCCTTTGGTGATGCTTCAGTTCCTGAAGTGGACATAGGCATACGCTGTCTCTGCAGTGAGCCTTAATGAAAGACCTCAATGGCACTGTTAGAGTCTGACCAGAGTCTGCTTACAGGTGCGGCCTACGTCCTGAGGTGACCTGGGAGGCAGGGATGTAAAGGTCACACCTTCCCGCGGAGCCTCGGAACCTCCAGAGGTTTGCTTCCTTGGCACCTGGAAGAGCCGGTATTCACACTCCAGGACCAGGCCTGGGAGACCGTCCTG